CTCTAGTTAAAGTTCTTATTTTTAAATTGTAATTTTTTTTTAATGGAATATTAGTTTGTACTTCAGTTAGCTTTAAAGGCAAAACTTTCCTGATGCTATTGGAGTAGACAGGTTTTTAATTTCTCAATCTCTAGTTTCATCATCTTTGCATCTTCAGACTGTGATGCAGAGCATTTATCTGTTGTAGTGGTTCTCAGAAATGTATTTATTAATTAAAAGTCACTGTTAAGTGTGATAATTGATTCTGATAGTGATAAATTATTTGCCACGTGACCAGATTCTTGTCATATTTTCGAGTGGAAAACTAATGGCAAGTTGCAGAACCATTAATGGTCATAACTCACGAGAAAGAAGGCGATCGTTTTTATATAAACTGCCGACGTAGGATTTCAGAGACTTCAGACAAATCCAAAGCTCCCAATTCAATTTTTCTTCTTAAAATTAGATTTTTTTTTTATTCTATCCTTACTTGCAGTTTTGGAAGTTTTTCCTTGAATTTTTGTCTGTTTTTTTTTGTGCTTTACATTTAAGTTTATGGTTCTTTAAGAAGAAATTTTCTTTATTTAGATCTTATTAATTATAACATGCAAATTCCCTATTATTTTCCTTATTAAAAAACTGTTTATTGAGTATTTTGTTAAGCAGTTATACATGTAAAATATTAAGAATATCAGATTATAAAGACTTAAGTCTTTATAATTTGATAATTTAATAATGGTATGACTTTTAGGAAATAGGGGAACTTTGTTTTTTTTTTAGTTTACAAATTGACAAAAATCGTGACACAATTCATAGGGAATACCTTAAAAGTTGTTAGATACATTTATTTTCTTAAAATTTAGTTAAAATATTAAGATATAATCACAATTTGCAGTTTAGAATTGTGATGCGGAGGAGCAGTTTCAATTACAATGCAGTAAAACCCGGTAAACCGGAAGATCGAAGTAAATTTTCTGCTGAAATTTCGAAACTTTTTACGAAACAGAGCAGTTTAACTGTTAGTTAGGTTATTAAAACTTGTAAGTAGACAATTATTTCCGCTAAATTTTAAGAAAGTGGTCCAGAAAAGCTACCTGTCTTCAAGCTTAAGTTACACTAAAGGGATGAGTGATCACTTGTGGATATTGCTTAGCCTGATATAAAAATTTTCTTTCTAATTATACACATTTTGTGTGTATATTATTATATTGTATGTCAAAATGTAAAAAATATAATCTTGTTTCTGCTCTTAAGTACAATTAAGTAGCATTTGTTCAGAGATGCGGATCCTAATCTGTCACTTAACTGAGTTTCTATAATCAGTTTCTATATTAACAAGCATTATAATATATAATTATGTGCTTATGTTTGTTCTTATTTATAAAAATAACAAATTTTGTAAGAATTTTAAGGGTAAAATGGCCAAAACTTCAACTTTTAAATCGTCAAAGCAACTAAAATGCTTGATTTAAATGTATTTTACATTAACATTTTTTAATGTTTTAATATTTTACTAGTTTCTTTTCTAATTTAGAAATTTCTAAATTTAATTATTCAATTTTTTTTTAATTATGTATGAGTGGTTTCATTACTTAAGCATGAGCTCAATGCCGAAGGATGTCTGTTAACAGAGCAATACCCTCCAAAAAATATCGATTTTTCATGAAAAATTGACATATTAGAAGAGTTATCGAAGCTAAAACTTGAAAGAAAGTTGTGTAACGTCGTTTCCTGCATTTATTCATAACTTATATTACGAAACAACTCCTATCGTTCAAGCGTAACAAGTTAATAAGCGTAGACCAGACGTCGCGGTTACTTTACAATTTTTATACGCTTGTAGGATGTAAAATTCTCATTATGGAAGGGAATTAATTTGAAAAAAGTTTTCAGAACATTAAAAATAACTTTTTTTGATTTTATATGTTATGAGTTCAAAACGAATTTTTAACTTGAAAAATCGATTTCTCCAGCATCCCTGCATCATCTTCGCAGCATCACTAGATATTCGAAACGTAACCTTACCGGATAGTGATGACAAATTTTAGGAAAATATCGATAAATATAAGTTTTTGGGGCCTTTCTTTAATATATTAAACGACATCGTTTGGTAAAAATGGCAAAGAAAATGAAAAATATGAGCATCTTCCCATCTATCCGGAGCGGTAAGCAGTCAAGAAACGATGCGAAAATGTTGAATAATAGCATAAATGTGAAGCATAATTCGTCATATAAGGCTATGGAATCTTCCCATGAGCATTTTTCATCATATTTTCGAAGGTTTAGCGTAATCAATTTTCTCTACTCCAATTTTTTATGCGTGTGTGTGTGTGTGTGTGACGTGCTTCGTGTTATACACATAATATATATATATTTATTTATTTATATATAGATGGAAACTTTAGGAACTGTTTGCCACCTTTTTTTAACGTTTAAAATGTATAATTTGAATAGAAAATTCCCGGTTTTCTAGCATTGTATCGATGAGTCAAGGTGATTTAAATAGAACTTAACGGTAGAGTGACGTTCGTTAGAGTGTGACGTTACACATTGCGACACTTTCTCTTTCGTTCTCGCCTTTGTAAATGATACAACTGTAAGTGTTTTTATTGGAAATATCAATAAAACCGCGTTAATCCAGTTAGCAGCCTTCCACGTTCACCTTGAAAAGCGCGAGAGGTCACGGAAGTAACGTCACGCGATAACCTTTCGTCGGCGTTATTCGATGAAAATTTACAAAATTTCCTCGTTAAATCGAATAAAAAGATGTCGTCGGAACGTTTCTATAGCGTTTAATTTAAGATATTTGCTGCAAAATTTGATTTCTTTTTTGGCGTATTACCCGCACACCCATCTTCGTAGATTCGCTCGAATTCGCGCTTTAAATTGCCAGAAACGGAAGCGAATTTGGGGAATTTGTTGCCTAGAACTTGTTTTATTTTAAGAAAAATTCCCTAGTTTAATATTTAAATAGGGAATTTTTAAAACGGATTACACGCTCCAGACCAACGTTGGCATTCATAAATGGCGGTTGGAGAGGGGGTTTCGTGCCTCGTGGGGAGTTCTAGAAATTAAATTTAAACGTTTAATTGCATTTATAATTTTCATTTCTAGAAAAGACATTTTAGTCTTTTTTCAAATTGAGAAATTGAAGAAAGATAATTAGATTTTCTGGCCATTTTTCTTCTTCTCCACGCGCCAGCTCAGATGATATGGATGGGATGGATGCGGATAACGGAGATGATAGGAATCTTGTAGATAGGATGGCGTAGATGATAGGATTCGATAATAAGAATTTCGATCGAATTCCGTTTTTGGATGATGAACATTCTTCTCCCCCAAACGTTAACCTGAAGCCGAAAAATTGAAGAGGAGATCCACACTTTCTGCCGCGATTTTCGTCACTTCTGTCCACTTTTTTTTCTTAGTTTAACCCCTAAATTACGTCACGGGAAGTCGGACACGTGTATTTTATTGCTATTTTATTTTTTGGTCCAAAAATTCTGTTGTTTGAACTTGAATTCCGAAAATCGATGCGATTAAAATTCGCGCATCGATCCTCTCGAAGTTCAATGTAATTCCTGGCGTTTTTTAATGTTGTTTTTGATAAAAATAACTCAATTAATATTTATGAGGCGTTTTTTTTGTTATTTAATTCGAATTTAATGGAATTGGAACCGAATTAAATCGATATTTCGGGTGTTAAGTCTAGCAAGTTAGTGGTAGGTCACAGGGAAACTCCTGTCTGCTATGAAGTTTCTGAATTGAAAAATTTATAGTTACTGACAGAATGTTTACAGATTGATGCTGGAGGATGTCTTTTGAGGGATCGGGAATATTTTCCCCCTTCCCACCGCATCAGATGCTCCTGAAGATAGTTTCGGTTATTGCTTCCTTTCCTTCTACGTGAATTATTCATGCTAAAGTTATATAAAATTTAAAGGATGAGAATCGTATAGGATGCTCGAAATTGTATCTTTTACGAGCCTTCTAAGGTGTTCAAGCCGGGGAGAAGTTCTGTGAAGGATCAATAACGTGCTGCTTTTTTGAGAAGCGAGAGCTCTTTTCTCCCTAATTTTATATGAAAATGCGAGAAAATGAAGCTTTGCGTGACTTTTTAGACCCTCTTTTGTTAAATAATTAGCATAGAAAGAGCGATTTTGACGTAAGAGTAACGGTTGGAAGAAGCTGGAGCAATGTGAGGAGTTGAGGGACGGTTCGGCTCGTATCGCGTTGGAAGTGATTTCAGCTAGTCGACCGCGAGCTACTTTATCCCACGCTTAAATGGGGAGTTCCTAGCTGGAAGTGAGGGGAAAATATTTAAATCTGAACGGAACTTTGCCGGTTTAAGTGTTACCTTTCAATTTTAAGCTTTATTCTTCTGTTTGGAATAATAAGTTATCTTTTGTTCGATGATTAAGTTTTAGATGGAGAAAGGAGGAGTCACGCCATACGATCATCAGACAATCACAAGAAATGTTGTGATTTTCGGTTTGCATTTTTGTCTCGAATATCTTCATGAAATCTGCTGGAATAGCGCGACCTTTTCCTCCATTTTTATCGATTTTCTTTCAATTTACAACGTCGATTTTCTTCAATTTTCTTTCTCTAATTAAATTACATCTGTGAACGTCTTAGTTTCAAAGCTTCTATGTAGGTATTGAGTTGACAAGGTGGCATGGAAGCTTTGATACTTCTCTATAACTCTTACGAGTACATAAGTGAGAGTTGTGGATTGGTGTAGGAGATGCAAGCAGGTGTAATTGTGCTCTTCTAGTCTTGTGGTAGGTTTGGGCAGTGTAAATTGTGCACTTCTAGGTTGGTGGAAGAATATATGGTGCATATTAAGTTGTACGACACTACAAAGACTTAAATTCTGCACCCTTAAGAGTGTGAGAGGTAAGGACAAGTGTTAATTGTATGTACTGTACCTAGCGAGAAAACTTGCCTATGCATTTACATTTAAATTATAGAAACGTCATTACAACTTCTTATTAATTAGATTTTTGTATCGTCGACAGGCTCGGTTCGAAGCTCTGTTTCGCCATTTCGAAGAAGAAGCGACATTCCAATACTTCAAAAGTTTTCGTCGTGCCCGCGTCAATTACAGCAGCCCCGCATTTGCAGCTAAGGCAAGAATCCAGTGTCACAAAAAGCAAATGGGTGATAGTATAATGAACTGCTACTTTGCGCAGGTAAGGAAAACAAAAAAAAACACCCCTCCCCTCCTACCGCTTCCTAGTGAATTTCCGGTCTGACTCTTCGCCCTTCCAGCCTAAAACCGACACGAAAGACTCGGATTCGTCGGATTCCTACCTACAGCCACCATCCCCCGTGCGCCAGTTCCTCATCTCTCCTCCAGCATCACCACCGGAAGGATGGGCTCCCCATCCGGAAGCCGAACCCACCGTCAATATGGATCTGTTGGCTGCCATAGCGAATTTAGGACCAGGTAAGCTTCCCTCCTGTCCATCTGTCTGTCCGTCGATCTTATTTTTTAAAAAAAAAACAAATCTGCCCTGTTTTAGGAGAAACCCACGAACTTCACCCACCTTCGGAATCTCAGCCGGGTATCGTCGTACATGTCTGCGAAGATCAACAACCACCCCCTGGTCCTAAGTTAAAAATAGTGCAAACTAGATGCCCCGAACGGTCATCGTCTACAGATTCTGATTCACCTTAAGGGGAGGCGTCGTCACGTTTTGTCCACCCCGTCCATCGTATATTTTTGGTTTTTTCTGTTTATCCCTCTCCTCCCTTCCACCTTCGACTGACGATGAGGATGGCGACGACGATGAGAGTTAGGAGAAATTTATCCATGTACACACACGAATAATATAAAAAAATATATATACATATATATATTTTTCTTTTAAAAAAAAAATCACTATTTTTGTCGGAAAGTGGAGAACTTTATCGATTCCCCCCTGAGTTAAGGCATTAAAAAAGTAAAAATAAATGAAGACAACGATTTATTTTCATCCTCTCCTCTCTCCTCTTCCACTACGATGAGGAGTAATACAAATTAGAGGAACGAAGTAGTAGTTCTGTTGTCTCTAAATATATAATTATATACATATATATATATATAAATTGGTGATAATTCGGATGTAAAGTTTGTTATTTATTCAGTGTTTATGTATAGATCTACATTGGATAAAAATAAACCATGGTAGAATTTAATCTCCTAGTCGACGTTGTGTGATGCTCATTATTCATTCCGACTCATCACCATTTTTCTGCTACTTAAACGAGTTTTAATGCGAAAAATTATGTAGTAATAAGCCGTGTAATTATGTATCGCGCGTATTATCGATCGAGGTGAGGCACAGACTTTATTATCTTATCGAATTTACAGACGTCGGATGTAATTCCGTTTCCGAAATTAAGTAGAAATTCGCTTCCATTTTCTAGAAATTCATTTATTTCGGGTGGTTTTTGTAAAATGTTGGATGTAGAAAGCGCCGAATTTATCCATTAATGGATAGGAGAATTAGAGTATTTATTGCTGTGGTTCGTGGTGGTGATGAAGGGGGATTTATGTGCGCGGTTCCAAGCGAATATGTTGAATGTTTTCTGTTCAGAAATCCTGTTTTTATTGATGCTCAATCACCTTAGACACTAGTGCAATTACTAGAAGACAATTGCTTGAAGGATGCTCTCTCGTCGAGAGCGAGAGAGGAGGATGTAGATGAAGTAAGAGACGGTTGAAAGCGCGAGAAGAAATTACACGTTTTACTTAATGACGGTGATTTTGATAACGTTTTCGTGCATCTTTAAAGCCATTCCCTCAATCTTGATGCAAAAATTCTTCCTACTTTACGTTATTTTTTACGTCACCCTCTTCATTATGGTAAATCCCACTCGAAACTTTAAAAGAATGGAGGAATTTTTAATTGTTTAAGTAAGAAAATTAACTAGAAACAAATTTTATTATTTATCATTTACAATATTTCAATTAAAACTAAGATCTGCGGGTATATATATGTGCAGAGAATAACAGGAAACACGTCACTGTACAGCATGAAATTTAGCTGCAGTGCCCCAACAGATATTAATTCAACTCTTGGCATTGATCTTGGAATATTTAGTAACAAAAACTCATCAATTATCCGCGTGTTACGCGCGTTATTTAACACAAACATTTTAAAATCCGTCGAATTCTCGGTGACGTATCGATCTAAAAATTCCATCTTCCCGTACAATATTTCGATTATGAAAATACAAAAGAAGAGAAAGGGGGAAAAAACTGAAAGTATAAATGGAAAGAATCTTCGCTTTCTCACGAAACAGCTTAATATTTATAATGCGTGACGTTAGGGAATTGGTCGCTCAAGTAACATTTAGTTAATGGAAGTAAAACCCACCCCCTCCCCTCTGTGCCCTTTCTTGGAATCTCTATCAAAAATCGAAGGTGTCTGCATCGAAATTATCATCATCCTGACGAATAGGAGCGTCGTTTCTACCCTCCTGTTGCCTGTTTGCGGTTCCATCGTGCGCTCTTGATGGCCAAGGTTGGTTGTTATTCTTCTCTCTGCCCGGTTTGTACACGTAAACCGGGGTGTTGTTCGAGTTGTGAATGGATGGTTGGAGAGTGTGATCACCTGCAACGAGTAAAAGATTAAATTTCTGAACTTCTCTAGCAGCGGAATGGCGCTAAATTGCCACTCTTGCTGCTTCCGTAACTGTCTTAACCTATTTTAGGTCTGTTTGCGTACTTAATTTTAGTAGGAACTGGTAAATTTATAGTAGTAGAATAAGTAAACTTTGTTGGAATCTATGTAAACAACATCAATAGCCTCTAGGATTCTCTAAATGTCATATAGAATGTACATCAAACCGCTGCAACGCGAGTGAATGATGGCAGTGAAAATCGATATTGACTATTTAATGTGTCCGAAAATATCTATAGAGGATGTAAGGTCGAATCGTTCCGCTACTGGAATGTAGAGCGAGAAGAAATATATATATATACGCAGATAAATTCTACCACCAGAACGAAAATTCGATACTAGAGAACTTCAAAAATTGCCAAAGTTCGAACTTTTTCAGTTGAAAATGGTTGTGTGTGTGTGTGTTGGAAAAACGAGTGTTACGCCGCTTTTTTAATGCTCTTCGTGCTCATAAGTCCGAATATTTATCGCATCCACTGCTCTTGCCTGTTCTTTAATGGTTTTCTAGATGCTTCAACGTGCATCGAGATGTAGATCTTTAATCGAGTTACCTTCTGGAGGCGATTGTTTATCTTAAAACGTAGCCTCTTGCAGCAAGTGTTTGCACATTAGCTAACAAGATTATGACTAAAATCTCTTTTTAGTCTCGTCCTCTCTTGTGAGAAAAGCATTGTTGGGATTCTTAAGCTGTGTTCCTTTTTCTAGACTTATCGATTCTGATGGAAAACGAGTGGTGGAGTTGAAAGGGAAAGCGTGGAGTTCCGCATCACTAAACTAATTTTAGTAAATATTTTTTTTCTGGAAATACAAGGCTTGGCACGAAACGGTCTTCATTCTCCTTTTCTTGATGATGATTTCTTTAAGATTTATCCATGGAGGAATGTTAAAATGGACTCGAATATTTAAACAATTACGTCCGTGCTTTCCATTTAAGAAATGGATTTTTATAGATGCTCGAGTGTCGCCTCTTCGTCTCTGTTTTCTATTAAATGGAGCTTCAAATTCTTCTCTCGAATGAACATTTTTTTCTATCAGATTCCTCCACAATTACACTGCGTTCGCAGCACTCTCGAGCGAAAATGGAAAAAGTGTGTGATGACGAGAAGACGAGTCGTCGCTCCATTGACGTCACTGCTGTCTCCAACAGATGACAATCGATGAGCAATGGCAGACGAAGGGGAGGAGAAGACTTAATGGAGCCGTAATTAATGCGCAAATTAACTTTGCTCTAACAATTTGCAGCTGAATCGGCAGTTTTATCCATTTGTTCCTGATGGAAACGACTCGAGATTGTTCATGATAAAGGTAACGAATACTAAAAGAATCCCTTATCGCTCTTATATGGTGACTAAACTTTATTATATTTCTGGAAATATTAGACAATGACTCTTAGAAATTTAAGAAGTATCGACAATATTCCTCTTTAGAAAAGCGAAAAGATAAACTGAAGGGGATCGTCTTTAACTGTTTAAGCGTGATAAACGGGATTGGCGTGTGGTTTGATAACATTATCTCCGTGTTAAATCGCGTGGTATTTCGATTGTGAAGCGAGTTTGAGCCTTTGAATTTATATATCTATACTTTTTCAGTTTATCTTACTCGTAAAAGGAGTCAGAGTTCGATTTCTAGCTTAATTTTGACGATCCCTAAGAAAGAAACCGTGTTGAAGAAGATCGAATATCATATTGCATGGAAAATATCGTTAAGATAACGTATAAGAAAGGTGGAATAAATGACGCTACCTTTTAGTAATTGGTGCCTAGAATAGAATTGACTAGGCACGGTTCTGCATAGAGGATCCTCTGCATCCTTGGACATTCTTCTGCTGGATCTCATCTGAATCTTCGGTAACCATACTTCATCCAAGTCGAAATCGAATCCTGAACAGATAATAGTTATCGAAATATGAGAGGAGGAGGAGAATATCCATGGCACTTACCTGTTGGTATGGATCGTCGCTTGATAGGGCCCAATCTCTTCTGTTCTGTTCCTGAGGGATGTGAAGAATCGGAAGCTGAAAATATAAAATGTCTTGATCAGTATATTGTCATTAATGAGTACAAAGAACTGGGAGCTTTAATTTGATAAAATGGGCCTGATTGTCTTCCAGTTAGAGCAGCCTCTATCGGATCCGAGCGAGCAACCCTGGAAATTAAGAATTATTCATACCGGATATATCAGGTTCCGTTCCTCACATATCCGGTAATCCCCCCTTTGTTGGCCTGACCCAACCCACGATGGGTATAGAAAAAACGCTTAGTACTTATGCGACAGAACGAGTAAAGGGATGATTATGGGATCTAATTTTTTTGCATATTAAATTTTTATATGCTCGGTCCTGTAGACCGATGGCATCTTAATGAATGAATGGATCAAATTACCAAACACTAGTGAAGTCGCGGGTTCGCGTGGAGTTTTTCCGGTTTTCTTCGTATGTACAATACCTAAATAGGGTCGGTTTTCCATAGAAAGTCCTTCCAAAAGGTATCTATCTTGGCAAATCGCCCATGTTATGTTTTATATTGTCATCCTATTTAACCAAGATACTTTATCTTCAATCTTTATTCAATTTAAATTTTCCAAAAATCATTACTAATCGTCTTGGACACGATCTAGATTGGAGGAATAAGCATTGATGAAACGCTTTCTTTTCAGCAAGAATTACTGAACTTTATATTGATTTTGGAGATGAACTTTCTTAACGTGCCAAGAATTTGAATTTACTTTCAGTTCAGTTTACAAGAGATGACCTTGTAATTGAACTGACAAGTGAGAGCCGTTATTCAGCAGTTAACATACTCTGGCAGAATTCCGCCATTTTGGCACGGTTGTTTCCACTCTAAGTGTATTAAGAGGGCTTCATTAATCATATGTGTTTACGGGTTCGGTGGCCCACAGTTGGGGTGCCGGATGGTGAGAGAAAGCGCTTGACATGTCAGAGTGATAGGTCTTTCACGCCTCGGCCTCCATTTTGTTACTTTAACAGTCAGATTATTGTTTTGCGTGTAGAAATTTCCTTAAAGTGGGGGAAACCCCCGCTTCAACTTTTTATCGTGGGTAACATATAACTTATCACATAATTCATACGAATAAATTATAAGGGAAGATTATATTATGAAATATTAAATGTTCTTACTCTAAATGATTTAATAATGGTGCAGGGAAACCGTTCTTGGCTGTGCAAAAGTTAAATTGCAACACGTTAAATCATAATTTAGTAATGCTAAAATTACGATTTCTTTCCGAGAAGAGAGAACAAAGAATCTGAAATTTCAAGTGATTTTATGAAATTTTCAATTATGCATGCTAAACTTGGCAACTGACACTGCAATTGCACTTTAGTTTCTTTGAATCGTTTCTAAATTTATATTTCGTTATAAATTGCATTATTGTTTTTTTTATTATTATTTTATTTACAGGGGAAAAACACTACAAAATAAGGGTGAATTCACATCAGAGAAGGACAATTACTTGCTTTAATGGTGTTGTAGATGCGTGACATTCAGTTGGAGAAAAACTAAGTGTCCTGAAATTTTGAATTTTAAACGTCATCAGCGGTGAAAGTTATTCTAGAATTATTATTATATCACTTTCGATGAAAGGAGCAGCAGACAAAGAGGACGTTTCGTCTGTCTATCTTTCGAAAAGTATCCATTCCTGGAACAGGAAGGCGCCGAACAGGAAAGCTTGTACTACAATATAAACGATTTAAACAAAGCGACAGGATGAAGACCAATACAATCTTTATATAAAACGTCAGCAATAATGGCACGAGAGAGTCGTTAGATGGATCTCGCACAGGATGACCTTTTGACATTTTCTACATTTTTCGCTCCAAAGAATTTGCCTCGCTGGAAATTGTTTAGAAAAATAATTTAGAGCAAAAGCGAAAGTTGCCACACGTTTCGGTTGGCAACGAGTGTTATCGTTAATCTGATCGATCCGTTGCTTGGTTACGGTGATTCTGAAGTAACTGAATTTACAACAGGGAATTGAACATCAACCGAAATATATCCCGTCGACGTTTCTGTTCGTAGGGGGAAGTTTTTAAATCCGAGAATTTTTAAATTCCACGTTTCTACTTACCGATCCTCGAGTGTCCTTCTTGCTCTTTGGGTTTCATGAAACAATGGAGACGAGGTGTTTGTATCCGATAGTCGTTTGCATGACGATAGAAATTGGCTTTTTGAATACAGACCTGCTAAGTGAACCTGTCGTTCGATGACACCAAGGGGGGATTCGTGGGCGCCATCTGGCGATGTAAATGAAAAGCGCTGATGGCACGCTTCGTGTTATGCATTCCCCGAGCAACAGTCCTTGTTTACTGTTCTAAATATAAGCAGTTAATTGATGCGTGTGATCGATTTGTCCTTGTGCAGTTGCAGCTTCGTGGGTACCGTATTATTTTCGTGTAATTGCTTATAATGGTTGATTTGCTCTTCTTGTAATTCTTAATTGCTATTATTATCGATAAAATAAAGTTTTGTATAGGTGCATTTGATTCGGTTTATGATCCGGTAGTATTACTAGTTCGCTTTTTTATGATGTGTTCACGCTCTATAACCATTTTCATAATGATTCTTCTTTGTTGTTAAGTAGTTGAATGCTTCAGTTGCTTGTACTGAAGTTACATAACGGATCCAACGATCGATTGTGCTTGTATCTTAAAAACACCAAAAATATTTACAGAAATTAGAATGATTTTCCACGGAGAACTCGAGGAGCAATCGATATGCAAATTATCAATTTCTTATGCTGTATGAAGTATGTCATTGGACTTCAATCTGAGAAAACAATACTTCTTGAGAGTCTTTGTTGCAGTTAACAGCATTGTATCTCGTTAAAGGATTTCATCAGGGTTGGACTTGTTGAGGCCCTTCCTCACTACCAATTTATGACAGAAAAACGTGAGGCTTCGAACTATACACTCATAACGCGAGAATATACTGCAGCTTATCTAGCTTATGTGGAAATCTGGCTCTAGATTTGAAGAAAATTTGAGATGTTTTTTGGAAATATCAAAAAATTGAATCGAACACCCAGCATACAGATATGACAATCAAAATATTGATTTATTCCTCTTTGAAAAATCTTTTCGATGTTTTATTTCTCTTATGACTCGAAAGAAATGATAGAGATTGCTGCCACTCGATGACAGTTTATATGAGATTTTTGACTGAAATATTTGTTTTTCGAATCAAATATTTCTTAACGCTTCCATTTTTCTGTAACGTTTACACTGACTTAAGTTAAAGAAAACAATTTGTAACCTATCGATCCTGCCAGCGAGCCAAAGTGACAAATCAATGAGTTTCTTTTGCAGTTCTCGAAAAAATAATATTACAACTTTCCAACAAATTAAGTTTCTTCTCTATCAAACTCCAACTTTTCACATGCTTTAAAGGTCAGACATACTACGTATCTTACAAATATTTAATTGTACCATTCCTTAATTACATTGTAAGATAATATAATATGCATAAAAACACTTGAATGCAGTTGGGTGAGTTTTCTTTGTTTTTAAATTGGTATATTAATTTTGAAACTTGAATTTTCTTCCGATCACCATCGACTGTCACGTAATAATTGAAAATGATGTGACGTAACTGCGTTAAGGCGTATAGAAGGATCAAGTGGACTAATCTGCCATTTTGTGTTTGAAGTTGTTATATGAAAAATCATCAAATTTAATTTAGATATACGAACTGTTTATGAAATTTTGTGGTACTCCTATGATATTTTTTTTGGCACATCAGGTGCGAGCTGCTGTAAAACTGGCTTAACGAAAGTAGTGCAACCTGTAATGCCACTGATGTGAATATTGGTGTCAGGATGTCCTATTTTTATTCAACACTCTGCCATGTGAGCACTGAGAGGACTTCTTTCGCCTGTTCATGGGTTTATGCAGCCACAATGGGAGTGGCAAAGAGAGATTCAACGTATCTGCGATAGAATCCTGCCCACGAGAAATTCTTGAGATTCACGAGTTAAATTTCAACCAGGGTCCACAAAGCATGCTGCTTTGAGGATCCTGACGCCTTTACCGCTTCATTATCTGGTTGTCAAATGGTAACTAAGATTTTTATTTCAGTTCTGCATTTAAAATCTAACACTTGAATTGCGATAACATTTGAATGTCGAAGTTCAGAAAGCTTTATGATCAGTTAGCCCTTTTATTTTATAAATTGTAAATGAATATTGATTTATCTTTCTTCCATTTCAAATAGATAGATCCATGGATATATGAACTAGGACGTCTTCAGGATTTCTTCAGTTTATTCAAGGTCATTAAAGAAGTCTCATTGAGGGTCATACAGTAATTTATTTTGAGGTGTGCTTTTTATTGTGCTTTACTTCATTGAAATTACATACAAACTCTATTTAGAATATAATAGTTATTTTAAGAATAAATGTCTCGATTTTTCTTGATGTACCAGAGAACAGAGAGAATACATTTTCCATGCCAGTTCTATTGTGGTGATTGCAAAACTCTTTAGTTTTTGGGCATGATTTGAGGATATCCGAAAAATAATTTTTTTGGATAATATCGCCCACCAGTGGCCGAGTGGATAAAACCAACAAACATTGGAAGTTGGTCGTGGGTTCGCGCCTCGCCAGCAGCCCAGTTACGTGGAGTTTTTCAGGTTTTCCTCACGTTAGTAACACCTAAGTAGAGGCCAGTTTCAAGGCTGATGTGCACATTTATAGAAACATTATACAGTAGACCCCTATAACGCGGGTTCCTATAACGGAGATTCCTATAACGTGGCGAAAAAATTGCGACTGTAATCGTATAAAGACGCTAAAAGGGACTCGTAAAACGTCGTCGCCGACTCGTGTCGCGATAGGATTGGTCGAATCTGGACCAATAGTAGACGAGCAGCCGAACTACTTACACGCTAGAGAGTTTTAGGCAAGTTGAGTTTATTATCATCTGTACAGTATGTAAATTAGGTACCGTAAGTCTAATACAGCACTAATTTTATACATTTCTTGTGAAAGAAACATTTCTTATTCAACGGCCATTAAAAATTCTTTATGTTAATGATGTCTCCAAAGTTCAACGAAGTTTTCGCAGAAAAAGAACTTATCAGAAATCGCGCCCGCCGTTTGATGCGCTGCTCCGCGAGGAAAACAAGCTTAAGCAATGGCGACGTCGAACGGTGCACACTCGGTAAGTAATCCTACAATTTTTTGTTTATAGCATAGTTTATACGGATTATTCCCCAAAAAATATACGTATTTTGGAAATGTTGAGTCGAATTAGTCTAGGATCGAGTAATTTTATAGAAGAAAACCTTTCAAACAGCCGTAATCCGTAAACTTCACACGTGTCGGGCTGTGATTGGCAAGGACTCGTACAAAATTGATTCATAAAGAACGGAACGTATCTACCGTGTTTTAGGGGGGTCGACTGTATAATGTTGAACAAAGAATTCTTGCATCAAAATGAGTAATTCATGTGTACTTTTCATTATATTATTGCTGATGATGATATTGATTCAGAATAGCGGTCGTTTGCTACTATTAATTACTTGCTACTTTTGTTTCAAAATGACGTATAATTATAATTCTAAAATATACTACACTTACAACGTAATCAGATAATGACGATGAAGAATAAAAATTGACAGTAAATTTAGACATTAATCTTACAGACGAATAGACCGACAGGACAAATCATTGGCGAACTGAAAGTGACTTGAGAGAATTTAAAAATGTGGCATTGTTTATTTTAATATAATCGCTTGAGGTCGCTGCAGCTTAGCAGCAGCGACATCGAGCGGAAATTGATTCCGAAATGAAATTGTAATGTACTTAACACCCAAAATACTTTTATATTTGTTTTATAATGTATAATTGAGGAAAATATAGACATCAGTAAATATATTTAGGAAATAAATCGAAATTTGGATGGAAAATCCTAACGAATTTAATCACTAATAATAATAATAATAATAATAATAAATTACATGCGATTTTAACCATCTTTATATATTTAAAGTCGAATCCCTTCAGGAGAGATTCCCATTTTTTACATTAGGGTCTTATAGATTAATATTAAATTGACAACAGTAGACGCCGCTTCAGTACACAGTGCTGTATTCTGCATTTACATTACATGATTGGAAAACTCGAATTTATCAAGTCTAAATTGCTGTAGATCGATGCAAAATTTCAATTTTCCAACCCGCCCTTAGCTACGAATTTACAACGTACAAATGTAGCTGTTCATCCTGGTAAATGCGCCATTGGCAAACCGGTTATAAACGTCGATATATTGGTAAACACGGGCGATTTATCGAGCGATACTCACGTTTGTTATACAAATATTAATACAATAGTTCATTAGGTACAACTAACGACGCCATTATTAAGCAGAAGAGAAAGATGATGATGTCTCAGGAAAAGCGTTCGTTTGCCAAACCACTTTCTTCATGGAGTCAATAATTGCTAATTATTTGACTTCATCAAGACTGCTTAAAGAGAAGAAACCAAACAAACGTTTGGTTCCTCCTCTAGGAAGTCGCTCTCAAAAAAACAAATGTAAGAACAATTGCAAGAGCGTTTTTTGCCACGGAACAGCTTCAAACCAATTGTGTGATTTGGCGTCAGAAGTTTTGGATGCTGGTTTTTTTAAAAAGAATTCAAAATTGCATTGAAAATAAACTCAAACTAAATATTTTTTTGTATAATTTTATTCTATTATTGCATGAACATCAATGGTCTTGCACCACGCGACCTTAGATCTTCACTCAAATGGTTCAATTTCGAATTTTTGAGAGAGATTTTTTTTCAAATTTAAAAACTATATTGCGTTTTTTACAATTTTATTAAATACGTAAGAACTTCCGATAACGGCAACCTTTAAACAGAGGACATTTCGGGAACATTTTTTAACAAAAATTTAAAAAATTGACGTTTGTTTTGAATGTTGTTTTTTTGTTTCCATCAGTGATCGGTGTTCAGAGGTTTGGCTGTAATTTTACTTTCCTGACTCTATTATATATAAAAGAGGGTAAGTATGGCGATCGGTCAAAAAATGACCCCCAAGATTTTTACATTTTTGGATTCTGGACACCTTGAAACGTCCAGAAATGCAAAAAAAATTCGGGTTTTTTTTCCTGTATGTACTCTGGGCACCACTTTATTCGCTCGTTTTGAAGCTTAATAACTCCTGCTTATTTTATTCAAATTTTATGAAATTTTGCAGGGGGTTTGATGCTATTAAATTTCAGTGGTAAAGGGCGAGGGCGCGAGAGATAAAGGAGCGTTGTGTTTGGTATCTGGAGTGGGGCGAACTCAACGAAGATTTTATTCATTAGCATTTACATTTACAATTTCTTTTCTTTTATAAAACTCTTCCCTACCATCGAAATTAAGCTTTTTTTCGTTTTATAATAATTTATATTAAAAAGTTTTAAATAAAATATCGTAATAGATGGCGCCACACGCAGCTTTAAACGATGTTGCCGGGAAAGTTAATCAACTCGATTTTGGATTTCTTTTTAATTCTAGAAATGTTGTATAAATCCAAAGAAGTCTGCATCTAATTGAAATGCTTTTAAAATGCTAAAACACATCAATCCGTAATTAAATGCGTATTGTTTAGAAGAATCTAAACAATTACTTTTTACGTTTTCACCCCTTACAACTAAATTTATTTGAAATAAATTACGTAATTGCACCCTAAAAAAAGCTTGAAAACAACCAACTTTACTCTTGATTATTCACAAAAAAAATCCATTTTATCGTCAAGTTTTTTTGACAGGTGATATTGATTTTGATAGATTGTATCAAAGTTTATATATATATATATATATAAGCTGAGCCGGTTTACAGAATTTACACCTCTATACGATAATAGAATTTTAAGCGAGTTTATCTAAAAAGTTCGCAGAAAAATATATGTATATTTTTTTTTAATTTGGGGAGAGAAGACATTTAATTTCATCCGGTTTTGCTTCCTCTAATATGCTCCGTAAATACTAGCCACTTCTAATAATAAAAATTGATTTTTCTATCCAATAAAGCAAACGTTTGTAGAAGAGTAAAATAATTTTATTTTTATGAGAGAACAATTTAAAGATGGGTTTTTTTTCTTTCTTTCTTTTTTATTATTATTTGTTCGTAGAGAATTCAATTTTATTAATACTTCCTCGCATCATTTGCAACTGGCATCGCTCCTATTGAACGTGGTTTAATGTGATATGGATCGATGTAACTAAATAATGTTGTTGTCTGTCCGTCACGCTCGCTATCTTATACGTCGTCGTGTCAGCTGAACAGTAATTGCTAGTGGCTAAGATGAAGTATCGGTTTATAGAGCGTGACGGACAGATATTTCTTTGATAAATTTCATTTTTACTTTCCCGGCTGCCAGGGAATTAGCGTAGTAATTGGATGAAGTTTGACCCCCCTATTAAGGAGCACTGAAATGTAAAAAAACCTTTACAAAACTGTCTCTTTGTTTCGCATTAAGTTTTAGCATTGAATGAAATTTTGAAAGTTGGCAAGTTATTTCTATATATAGAGCATTGATGGGTGCCACTTCTCTGGGCGCTCTAACAGTGCTGCCACATCTTTAGCCATATATATGGAGCATCCAGAGAGATGGCACGACCACGTACATTTGAATCCACAACAATTGAATATGTTTGTTCGAAAACCGTCTCAATAATCCATTATTTTACGTAATAATAATAATGTAGCGCTAAAAGATCTTGGAAGAAATGTCAAATGTCACAGGTTTGACGCTACGTAGAAGAACAATATGGGAAAAGTAAAATAACGTAGTCTTATAAATAAAATTTGACGGCTCTTATGATATATGAAATAATAAAACGGAAATATATTTAGATTTATCTTTAATATCATAAATAAATCTTTAAAACATGAGGCATAAATAAGCAAATTTAAATTTGACCCGTTTGTAAGAACTGGAAAACTATTGGAGAATTTCAAATTCCACGTGCTTTGAAATTGATGTCAGATTCAAAATGGCTGCCATTCTTCTCCACTGTTCTTGCTTGTGAAACGAATTGAAGGATTGCTTTTTTTTAATGTAATCTTTATTTAACATGTATAATATTCAAGTGTGAAAAAGTAATCCAATTACAGCACCCAGTGATGTAACACATGCATTAAGAACATCCAATTGTTTACAATTTCAACCAATAAAATACTAGCCACAAAAATAACATTTTAGTTTACACAAAAATAACAATTTTAGTGTTAACTTTTAACATTAATGGTAATACGCCACATGTTCAGAGTGGACCAAAAGTCAGTTTACCGAGATATTTTTACGACGATTACACGCACATTTACGCCATTTATTTGAATACCATTGAATTACTAATACTATAATAATATGCGGCTGTTAACTAACTTTCGAGCCACTCTATAAAAACGAATGAAACTGAATAAAATTTATATTCGTCGAGCGAGCCTTGTTATAGATTAATTTAAAATTTGAAATTGCGTTCGATTTCGGCTTGATAAAGGAATTTCTTCAACGAATTAGTTAACGATGTATCGCGTTGTGTTTTCTGTGATTATCGCTTTCCTAATTTGCATAAATTATCAGCGATACTCTTCAGCACTAAGTGACGTATATAAAATCGACTCATTCATTTATCTTAACATATCTACATTCATTAAAAATGACATGCAATATGTGAAACTGAAATTCTCGATTCACCAGAAATTCCATAAATTTAACCTGAAAATGGACGATTCTTTCTTCTCTGTAGCAGCAAAAGTGTACGTGCATTCGGAAGAGGAAGCCGTAAAGTTGCATCTTAGAAACATGCCATCTGCATCCATATTCGTAAGAACATCCTCCGATCAACCAATTATTTACGGGTATTTTGTAAATGGTGTGTTTATTGGAAGTTTTCAAGATGGCGGTGAAGTTTATTACGTAGAACCAAACTATTACCATAAACAATTTTCTAGTATGCAAAAGGGAGTTATCGCTTATAGCCTTAAGTCAGTCGTTGCTTACAACACTGATACTGATGGTAAAAGAATTTGCCAGGAAGAATTGGAAGTAAACCAATTGCAAATCAGCAAGGAAAGTGATATTCTTTACGATTATTCTTCGAATATTTTAGCAAAAAATGAAAAGTTAGTTAAATTTTTTACCATTAATGAGTAACTGGTGTATCAGGATGCAGGCATAAACATTACAAATTTTGAGTAGATCCGAAAAATTACGAATGGAAGAGAATTGTTTTGAAAAAGGACATTTTTAAAGTCAAAATAGAGGATACGTTCTCTATATCAAACCCAAAAGAATGATACGTTTCTATTTCGGAAGGGCGCAGTAGTAGCCTACTAGATAACACCACTGCAGTGGTTAACAAGTGGGGAAGCTTAGGCAATTGCCAGGGCCTCATGCACGCACAGACCACTAATTTTTGGATCACCAACCGGTTGTGTAGGCAGGGCCCAATGCATTGCTTTGCCCAGGGATCTGTAATTCTGGTAAGACTGCCCTGCACTACTGAACACTGATAGTTGGTCACGAGTTCGCGCCTGACAATAAGTTTTCTTCATGTGTCTAACACGTAAATAGGAGCTAGTTTCCCATTGACAGCCTTCCCTAGAGGCACTTTTCCTTCAACAGATTGTTCTGTTATCCCATTACTCTGCTCCATTTTGGAGGCCATATAACTCTACATTAGATGCTACACGGGTTCTTTAGCATAATTTTCGATTGTTACACTGGAATGATCTTTTTACCAATTAACATTTGGCGTTTATGTTCAAGATATTCTGTTTATGCCTCGTTCTGTAAACCAAACTAAATATTTTCTACATAAAATTTTCTTTTTCAGATCTCGGTTGAGTTGTTCTTTAGAGCTTCTAGCAGATTACACGTTCTTCAATTATATGAACAACGATCTCAATAGAACCATTTCAGAAATGCTGTATCATGTTATGAATGCCCAAATCATCTTCCAAAATGTAGATGCAGATGGTGATGGCAAACCGGACGGGATCGGATTTAATGTAGAAATGATTACAATTTTAAAAAGTGAAAACATCATCCGTCATCCTATACAAAATATAAAAACAAATGATTATAAGGAATTTCTGGAACATTTATCAAAATATCATCATCCTTACTGCATGTCGATCTATTTTTGTCACAGAGATTTCTGGAACGAATCGGGTTGTGCCATAACAGGAATTACTGATAGAATCTGTTCCGAGTCTTCAAACAGTTCGAAGAGAAACGGTGTGATATTTATTTCAAATCTTGAAAGAAATCGCGTAGTGCCGCGATTTCGAATGTCTTCCAACTTAGTTCATCAATTTGGACACGCTTTCGGATGTTCTGACGATCCTGTGACCTGTAGACCTGGCGATTCCAACGACTTGGCTGGAAATTATATTATGTATCCCGATTCACCTTATGGATCATATCCAAATAATTTTAAGTTTTCACCTTGTAGTTTGAAATCTTTGAGGCATACTCTTAAAGCAAAAGGTAAGAACCCAGATCTCATTTTCTAAATTCTGACCATTCTGTACATCATTGCAATGTGATATACTAAAATTCATTGTGTAAAATAGATCATTGTTTGAAGAAACTCGAGAAATCGACGTGTGGAAATGGTGTCATTGAAGAGGGAGAATCGTGTGATTGCGGTGAATCTGTTAGTAATTGCAAGTGTTGCAACCCTAAAGGATCTCCATACGAGTGTACTCTAAGCAGAAATGCTCAATGCTCTCCTGAGTTATCAGAATGTTGCGATGATTCTTGCAACTTTGGTTCAAAAACTAACACGACATGTTTTAGTAATAAAACCTGTTTTAACGTTTCCAGTACGTGTCGTGTAGATTCACCATTCTGTCCAACATCTCCTGAGCCTGATGGATCACCTTGTCTTGGAACTTCACGGACCTGCCGCGATGGTAAATGCATCAGTAACATTTGCGAAGATAATGGTTTAGAATTATGTGAATGTAAGTTTATTCGTTGGGAATGTCACATATGTTGCAAGAGCCCAAACACTTCATGTCTCAGTGGTCAACGTTTCAATTTTTTCACTCCTGATCGTCGGTTATATTTGAAACAAGAAGGCTCGTTATGTGGCAATAATTTCGGAAGATGTTTAAGGCGAGTAAAGTAATTTATATATTCAAATATATGGTAGAATTACAGGTTATAACAAGCGCTTTTCTTATTTTGTAGCAATGGAAGGTGCCTGATAAGAAGATCCTATAATCTATGGTTTCATATTTTTCCATTTCCTTTCCTTTTGCTGTTTTTTATTTGTTTCGTATTCTTGCGTTACGTTGGGAAGAAACGTTATTATGCGAGACAGTTGTCTGTTAAATCAAGGAGAAAGAAAACATGATTTATAAGGATTCAAATTAAGGAGGAATATCTACTTGATCCTCCTAAATGCATACGTTTTCAAGTCAAGTCGGCAAGTTGCTGGAATATGATTTTTTCATTAAAAAATCTTTGCATTTCTTAGGATATTTCCAAATATTTTCGATAATATATCCTCAAAGCTGCTTTAAGAGATAGCTTTTCAAAATCACTGAAGCATTCCTGAAAATCTTCAGGAAGCTTTGAAGGCCTTCAGAAACGTTATGGTTCCTCAAGCCGTTTTTAAATTTTCTTCTAAAAACTAGAAATTTTTTGAAGACCAAAGTGTTTTCAGTGTGTAAGATTTCAAAAACTTGACCGATTTTTCGGAAGACTCAGATTTCCAAAATTTACAGAAATATGAATCGTGCTGAAGAGTTTTCAGAAGATTAATTTAAAAAGTCGATTCAATATTTATACTGCAAAGAAACTATTGTAAAATCGGTAACATTATTGAATAAATAAATTTATCTTTAAATAATTGAAATAACGTAGAGATTCAGTAGTTTTGTTTTGTTGTTTACGGCAACGTGACACGCGGGGCTATTTGTCGAGGATATCCCTTGAGATCTTTTATGGAAAACTAACTCCTATTTAGGCGTTGCAAAAGTGAAGAAAAGCTGGAAAACTCCATGTGGCCGGCTAGTTGGTGAAGTGCGAACCCACTACCAGTGTTCAGTGGTTTTATCCACTTGGCCACTGGTGTGCTCCGCGTTTAATGGTAGCACTTGCCTTGTTAAAATTCAAAACTTGTACTATCTTTTTTTCATTTTTGGCTTTTATAGCTTTGTAGACACTACGAGGTCCTTTTCATACCCGTTGAGGGTTCGGCCAAGCCGATAATGGGTGAGACTGGGTGATGAGGGATGGAACCTGATATTTGATTTGGTTTGATAGAATATGGTAACGCAACATGTGGGCGATCCCCTAAGAAAAGATGCCTCCAAGAGGGTGGTAGGGATAGGACTATTCGCCAATGTGAATCATTAGAATCTGGATTTAAGTCGGGTGATTTTGAACCATTTGCGGAATGTGAAATTGCTGCGTAAGTCACAATGACAAGACTAGGGTCGAGACTGTAGATTGATGGTAAGGAGGTTTCAGGCTTCTGCTGTAGAGGACACGGAATCGAATCCTGTCCACCAAAACCTTCCGGCCACCCCATTGTAAGTCTATCCGAACCCGGAATGAGTATAGTGAAAAGAACCTGTGTAGTAATATAACGCAGGGGAAAGATGTAAAAAATGGAAAAAGAAGGGTCAGGTCTTTGTTTCCTAAATACATTCATAATTTTCATTGATCCGAAAACGGCAGATTCGGTTGTTTTTTGGGGGGCGGGTTTTTTCTTTTTTTTTGTTTTGAGGATCCTAACTTAAAATTTATGGTAAGAAGAAATGCAAATGTGGAGTAAAAAAGCTTTTCCGTATTTAGATTTGCAAATTAATTTAAAATAATTCCACGTAATTTCATATTGTAATAATACACGATTAATATGATGAAGCTAACAATGCCACCAACAATGGAACGTCTTTGTATATTTTGACAGAAATAAGGTAAGTTGCATTTTGTTGATTATTTATATCGATAAGTACCTCTGGATTCGGGCCTCCTTGGTTTTCGGGTCCCCAGAAACTTCCAACTTAACTAACACGGTTGTTACGCCATTGCGGATAGTCATACAAGTACAGTACATGTTGGCCTTGTAACCGGTGTCCGGGGAATTTTGAATGTCCATCATTTTAAGTTTCTTTTTGGAGGTGGGCGTGTTGATTTACTGAGTAAATTACACCAGTATTTATTTGTTGTGTAAAATACACCACTATTTGCAGATTCGCTGTGTAAATTACTGACATGTGTCCTACATAATATCCTAGCCCGAGTGGATGAAACCACCGAACATTGGTAGTTGGTAGTGGGTTCGTGCTTCGCCAACAGGCCGACCAAATGGAGTTTTCCGGATTTTCTTTACGTTAGTAACATCTAAATAGGGGCCAGTTTCCCATAAAGTCCTCCTGAGAGGCATTTTCCCTTGGCAGATTGCTCATGTGTTGCATTGCACGGCAGCACGTTACATACATTCATACGATACACGATACATAATGGCGATCTGCCGAGGAGGTGTTTCCCGTGATGCCCCCTTGGGTCTTTTATGAGATACTGGTCCCTATTTGGGTGCTATTAATGTGAAGAAAATCCGGAAAACTCCACGTCGCTCGGTCTGCTGGCATGCAGGAACTTATGACCAGTGTTCGGTGGTTCCATCCACTCAGCCAAAGTGAGCATTAAACATTTAAAGATGACTGAAATCATTAAATTAAAGTAACCTGTGATGATTTTTATTTTCCCGGCTGTTATATATAACAGGAAAAGTACGGCAATCTGTCAAAAACAAGACCCCCAAAATTTTTACATTTTTCAGAAAAATTCGGGATTAATTTCTGTATGTATGGATGTTAGTGTGTGTGGGGCACGATTTTGTTTATCCTCTTTGAAGCTTAAGAACTCCCGTGCTTTTTGTCGAAAATTTCTGAAATTTTGCAGGGAGGTTTGTTTGTCAGGGGGGTCGATGCTACTAAATTTTGGTGGTTAAAGGTCGAGGGGGTAGGGAGATAAAGGGGGTCGTGTATATCGCTAGTAGGATCGGATTTAATGGCGGTTTTACTCGTTATTAGCATTTACAATTTTTTTTATATAAAACTCATCCCTATCCTGAAAATTAAGGTTTTTGCAATAATTAAAAATATAGAAAGTTTTCTGCTAAAATATGATAACAGACGGCGCTACGTGCAGTTTTAAACGTCGCTGGGAAAGCTGAGCAACTCGTTGCTAATTTATTCTTTATGCTTTTCACTCCGAAATATTCTTACCTTAATTTTTATCGTATTTTATACAAATTAAGGAATTTACCCTATTAAATATTTTTAAAAAATTCATCACCATTGATCATCTGGCATTGCAACACCCCACAAACAATTTATTTTTGGTTCAACAGATCATCATGTAGATAAGAATGGAGGAGGAGGAGGAGAAATGAAAGAATTTATCTAGAACAACATCAAATTTTGTTCCCTTTTTAACGTTCATTCTATACGCGATACAATCTCGATGCAACATTAGACGTCATCTAATTTGCATACGTTTAAATTCTATCACTATTAGCCTTAATTAATATGCAAATTGATTTAGATAGAGATTACTAAGGTAATTTTCAAACTTAATTATAATATAATCTATATATTTTTAAATTTAAACATATAGGGTGGGTCCAAAAGTCAGTTAACCAATTCATATTACAACACTTATTTATTGGTATATGTGAAGATCTGTTTACATACTTTTATCAAGTTTTAAGTCACTACACTACCCGTCATCCCTACTTAAGTGGCCCAAGTTACACGTTTTATAGAAGTGTAACAAGATTTGTATTTATTCCCACGGAAGATTGGTAAAATAAATCAGACAGGCAACCCTTCTATCCTTCTATTATATATACAGTATATAAATAATAAATTTTAAATTTAAAATAATTAGAACTCTCATTATCTAACTTATAACCAAATTTATAGTTATGTACTGAACTACTATACCCACAGCCCGTATGGTCGCCCATTGCTCAGAAATTATAGGTAATAGAGATGATTTCAATATGGCATCGAAATTTTTCTGTATTTAATTACACTCTCAGACATTTTAATGGTGTATGGACTACAACGTTACATAAGCGGTCCTCTGCGATATTTATAATATGCACGCATTAGTAGACTAATCGAAGTTATAAAAAAACTTGATCGATGATTGGCTAGAATGATTGATGTAGGCGGAGTTACGCTGATTTCTGTCAATAGATACTAATCTCGCTTATTTTTTAAAATAAAATACAGTATACGGTTTTTTCTCCAATGATTTAAAAATTTTAGAGAATTTCCTTTATTTGTGCGGGTATTTTTCATTTATTTGCGAGATTTTTAATTTTTAAATGTGATAATTTGCTTAAAACTGTCGTTGTTGATTAGGTTATAGAATCTTTTAATAATTGCATTACATATGCCCGCCCGTGACTGTGCCGCCATTTTAGAATATAAAAAATGGAGTTTTAACACAGAACTTCGCATAATATTTAAATATTTAAGAATTTTTATTATTTTAACTAAGAAAATATTGCAAAATAGCTTACAATTCTTAGATAATTGCTCTTTTGTAGATGATAACAATACTATGATAGTTTAACTTGTCTTGCTTTATTGCGTGATTGTCTTGTTGGTTTCCACTTGTTGCATAATCTCTATTTATGTAAATATTATTTCAGAACATTTATTTGTTCAATTATTTTTTTCATATTTATTATCCGTATTTCCTTAAAAATCAATATTATGTAATTCAAATTGAATCCAACTATGGTATAAAATCTCTGAACAATGGCCACATACAAGGAAAATAAAATAATTGGCCGTTGTTTGAAGGTTACTTTCGTATTCATTTTGTTTAACATGCCTAACAAATGGACGCCGTTTAGAGGTGGTCGTTATTGGAGGTTCGACTTTAATTTTATTTTTAAGTAAATTTAACATATCTGTATATGTTCGCCATGTTTGTGTTTGATGCGCGCGTCGCTTATCTCTCGCGACTCGTCGTCTCTTGCGCCAATACGTCTTCAACGTAAACAATAAGTCAAAACAATGCAGAAGGAAATTTATTATGTAATATTTATACATTTACTTAACTGCTAGTATCTTGATTGGTTGTAATCGACGTAATTTATTTTATTAATTGTTGTCGAGTGCGATGCGACATTGCGTCGCGTATCGATTTTTGAAACAATAGTAGAAACGTTAAACTAAAATTATTTTTTTGAAGGGGGAAAATGATAAAGTAATTTTCGATCGCGCGCAGACAGACTGACATTCGGAAGTTATGAATAAGTCAATTAATTAACACGTGTCTTTTTTTTTCTCATAAAAATACGCGTGGTTCTGCGGATGCGCGTTTGTAACGCGACGCGACGTTCATCTCAATATGGCGACTTGCTGACGATGCCGAAAGGGTATCTGAAATTTTACGTTTATTTTAAAATATTCACATGTAAAATATCTTTAAAAATTTGTTGAATTTTTTAGTTATTTTATTTTACTTAATCTCTCTATATTTAATTATATATATAGAGAGAGTTTAAATATTTAAAATTTATTTTTAATTTTATAAAATGTCAAATTTTAAAAAGCCACCAATTACAAGAGACGTTAATTAATGATGCAGGTCACGTGAACAGTGTTCTCGTTCATAAACAAGTGTGACCTCATTTGTCACTTCATGTAAACTTAGATTTTTGTGGTTCGTTTTAAACAAAAAATAAAGGGAAAGAAAATGTTTTTTTTGTCCTATTAAGCCAAGGTTAGTAATATCGAATCGTAGTGCTCTTCACGAGCTGTATATTTGAAGAAATAGTTGTACAAAGAATCCCTCAAATTCAAAATTAACATTTTCAATCACGTAACAATACCTAAAAAATCATAGG